CCGGATTTATTATTTATTATTAGGGCGGGGTTTATTAATATGAGGAAGGGATTATTCACGGTACCCAAAAAGGGACCATGGTTTTGACCCCCACCCTCGGAAGGCAGACAAGTTCACCGTCTGTTACTGCGACCGACACTATGTCGTGAGCTGAGATGGAACTGACATCCTCTGGTGTCGTAGGGGTTTAGGGGTTTGGGGGGTTGGCTTGCGCCAAAGTGCCATGGCACCCTTGCAAGCCTGTCCAGAGAAACTCAGACGTCCCAACCCGTTGTGTGGCTGTTAATTAATGTCAAGGCATGATGCAGCTGGAAGTTTGCAGACAGGGCGTTTTTGCAGTCAATGGGGGGCCCACCTTGTGTCGGAGTGTCTGGTTATCTCCATCCGTTCCTCTGAGAACAAAATCATTTTGTTTTTGGATGCCAAAATTCAAAAGCCTTTGGAAGACAAGTCTACTTCATCATGGTGGGATTGCGTTAATTACCAAGGCTAGTACCTGCGTGGCTTGGATCCCCATCGGCAGCTTGCAAGTGAATGGGCCGCAGAACTCTGGATCCATGAGGCGCCTTCACCGCAAAATGCTTTAAGATCAGTGATATTGGGGTTATGTTGGGGTTATATTGGGGTCATAACGGGGTTATATTGGGGCTATAATGGGGTTATATTGGGGTAATGGAAAATCAAATGGAAACTACTATAGTATATTGGGGTTATATAGGGATAATGGAAAAGAAAATGAAAACTACTATAGTAGCAGCCACTGAAAGTGACCGAAGTGACGTCGGCAATCACGTTCACATTCTAACGGTAGCAACAGTTCAAAGTGCCTATCGTAGTGGGGTTTCATAGAGCGCTTGCTATGCAATGTGCAACGGGTAGAGGTAGACCAGAGAGGAGGTCGGAGATTCGATCAAGAGTGCTCGTTTTGAGAACCCTGAGCTTGTCGTATTCTTCTTAGTGTCACTTCTGCCGGGTGACAGCAGATCACGTGTGTGGAGTTGTCAGTCAGTCGGGCTTGGTTAGGCTGGGTTGTGCCTACATAACGCTGACCACAGTGACTGTGAATCACACTGCCAGTTGTATGCCGGGGTAGGCCAATAGCTGGACATGGCAACAGCAGTGGCAATCATACATGTGCCGATGTTAGCCGAGAGGTTCGTTGTGAATCCGGGAGTCCCTGGCACAGTCACCGTCCACGGCATTGGGCTTGCAGCCAGACTGCAAGTGAGTTGTGTGAAGATGTGCGCCGTGGCGGCGTGTTTTGTTTGGCGGATGCCGCTTAAGCTTTTTTTCAGGATTATTGTTATGGGTTTAAAGCATGCTGGACCTTTCTTGGAAACACTCCGTGGTAAAGCCATCTAATGATGCGAAGTTTCACGGAAGTCTCGCATCCGAGGCCACCGAAGACAGGCATGGCTGTAGTAGACACGGGTAGTTCTCAAAATTGTGGTGTCTGTTTTGGATATGGATTACATCACGGCACCAAGTGTTTAGGGGTACCAAAACGGGACCCTGATTCTGGGAACTACCCACATTCTGATGCTTGCCCGTGCGGTTCGCAGAACTCTCTGCCGCAGGATCCGCATCATTCCACAAAATCAGGGATGCATGCAGGTCAGTGTGGCCGTTCTCTCAGCTATTGAAAGCAATCACCCTCCCGACATGCGAGCTGTAGTCTAACCTCGTTGAAGGGGGTTATATAGGGGATTATACAAGGGAGTATTGAAGCGCTATTAAGGGGGATACTAGGAGTTTAGACTATAGCTCATAGCAAAGAGCCCCCCACCCCCTTCTATTACATAGTCCATAATGGGCGTACCCGACATTACTGCGATGGAGGGGACTTAATGCTCCCGATATGAATACCCCCAACCCTTTACTACCTGGGGCAATATTCGATGAGGGTTGAAGGGGGTGAATATCACTGGGAGAGGAATAGCAGCAGCCTACAGACCGGACACCGACTTGCCGGCGGTTAGTAGGGAATGAAGGAATATAGGCTAGCTCAGGGCTTCTCATCTGGGGTTAACTGTGGTTATATTGTCAGGCTACTTTTGGCATCCATGCCTCCATGAACTACTGTGCCCCATGCCGTCTACGAGTGATTACGAGTGATGCTGCGGTTGCCATTTTCTTTCTCAATTTCAAGCCAACTGCCTAAACCCTAAACCATACCCCCAAACTAACAGGAAAGCCCGAAAACGTCCTTGGAAAGACTACCACCCTTTGAAAAGAGAACCACATCAGCTTGCATGTTGGTTTGGGGGATGTCATTCCCGCTGAAATCCGGGGAATCCCCACGCAATTCCCATATCTTCGCTTCTATGTCATAAGCATTGCCCATATAACCTCTATGTACTTCCGATGTATTTACTTTATATTTCCTAAATTTCCTCCACATAACGCCTATTGTAAGTTGAGACTCAGAAAGCAGCAGTTAGGCAGGGAGGTGGGCGGATAAGTGCAGGACGAGCGAGGGAGACAAACCTGAGAGTGTGATTATATACCTTCCTTACCTCCCGTTTAGGACGCCCCTTCAGGCTGTAGGGGTTAGGGTTTAGGCTTTGGTTCCCCCGCCTTTTAAGACAACTGTGCTATGAAAGGCCTGAAGGTTGTGGTTGAATCGTTCAGACCCATAGAACCACACTGCTTCGAGGCCAGCACAGCTACACCAGCGCCTGGGGCTTAGCTCTGAACATTCAGCCTGGTTGTTGCTTCGCGTCCTAAACCCTAAACCCAGTAATTGTTGTTATTACCCTAAACCCTTAAACCCCTAAGGGCCCCTAAACCCTAAACCCTAATACCACTTATCAGTGGTATTACTAGCAGGAGGAGTGATGTCGCGGTATAGTGGTATGTTGGTAAGGTGATGTTTTGGCGCTGGAAACCGTAAGTTTTATGCAAATACATATACATATACACATACACATACACATACACATACATATACATCTACACATACATACAATCTACATATCTATCCCTGTGTATCCGTGTATGGCCCCTATAGAAGCCCTATAACCAAGAGGATCCTTCCATCTCCTACCTAAGAAGACCTGAAAGTCTCCACAGCAGCTGTCAGCTCAGGGGCACACGCAGGCTCCAGGCCAGGGCCTCCATGCCGCGGGAATCGGGTTGACGTTTTAGGTCAGTAGGGTTTCGGGTTGACGGTTTAGGTGTAGTAGTAGTGGCTAGTAGTACTAGAGTAGTAGTAGTAGTAGTAGTAGTAGGAGTAGGAGTAGTAGTAGTAGTAGATAGTAGTAGTAGAAGCAACAGAAGTAGAGGCAGCAGTAGTAATAGAAGAACTAGTAGAAGAAGTAGTAGGGGGAGTATGAGTATGAGTAGTATAGTACAACCATAAGTACAAGGAGAGGAAAAGGATAGGGTTTGGAGTTTACGGTTAAGGGTATGCTAGGACAGGATGTGCCAATTTTCTGGACCTGTTAAGTTATGGGACTTTCCAGGAACAGGGGTTGAAGTACATATTGTCAGTTGATTGGGAGAGGATTGTAGATTCTGGAAGCTGCCTAAGAGACAAAAGGAAGGCAAAGATATATTACTCTGTGAGGACTGAAAAGTCTTATTATTCTTAGGGAGCCAAAAGCCTTGGCAAAAGAAAGCATCACACCCCAAAGGATACTTGGGATCTTGCCATCTTGCATCGAGCGAATAAAACATTCCGGCAGACACAAAGAATAGTCTCAATTGTGTTTCCAGCATTTATCCCAAACAGCCGTTTGTGATGTTTATTAAAGCCTGACTATCACTCTTGTAATCCTGAGGGAAGAAATTACTGCACTAACCACCAGTAATCCAAGCTTTTACATTGAGCGGGCTTTCAACTTTTGTTGCCTAGGTAGGCAAAAGGCTGAGTCATGACCACGTAATACCCTATGCCTGTTACTATTTCTGATATAACTATTTCATAATGTGCCTGCCGTTGCCTGCCTAGCCCCTAAACCCCCTAAGTCCCTACATCGTCCCTGCAGCCAGTTCATTCCTGATTTATGTTCCGCTTGATTCTTCAGTATTCCGCCTTCGACACATCCACATACCCCAAACCTTAGCTAGCACGGTGCCGGGGCCAGTCGATCGACTTCCGGTCCGGCTCTGCCATTTCTGCGTGGGCGCCTCAATGCAGGAGGTTGCTAAACGTCAGGTAGTAATAATGCAATCTGGAAAGACAGAAATACAGTCATATAACAATAACATAAAAGTATATGAATGCTCGGCCCTTAAATGCAGGATACAGGGGTTACTCGTATGTGAGTATATACGAGGTTTGGGGTCAAGGGCTTCCAACAGTTAGGGGTCCTCTGTGGGACCCTCTAAAGGGGGGATTGTAATAATTAATGTAGAACCCAAAGGGTCCACATATACAACCATTGGGGAATTGGGACCCATACTTCTTTCTATAGTATGGTATTTTGGGGCCTAATTCCCTAATCTGCAGGGCTTTGTGGTTTTCATGGGGATGAACTATGTCATTGGCCGCTTATTGCGTGGATTCAATTGGCCAATTTGTTGCGCAGATGGGCAAAACGTCAAAGCTACCCGGCGGTGTGGCAACAGTACAGGCAAGTCAACCTGCCGAAGCAAAACCCTTCTGATGGTCAACTCGCGGCTAAACACCCGGCCGATATCGATTCAAAGCGCGATTTGCCGCACCATCGCTACTGCCTTGGCGCAGAAAGATGAGGTCAAACAATGGGTCCAGCAGCATGTCACTCCGGAAGTACACGGAGGAGTTTCGGGCAGAGGGGTGCACACCGCAGTCCTTGCTTTAGCGAGCAGTTTCCAGCACGAGCACGCGGTCCTGTTATCCCTTGATATGAAGAAGGGCTATGACTATGCCGACCCGGAGTTGGTAGTGGGACACCTTCGCCGACGTGGGCTGCCTGAACATTGGTGCCAATATTTTGCACATGTATGGATGGAGCAATACCGATGGCTGGAATGGGACAACCACGTCTGCCCTGAACCAGAATTCGTTTCCAGATCGCTGCCACAAGGAGATCCGTTTGCAGTTTTGGGCTTTGTGTTGCTTCTGTCCGAGGCCGCCTCGGCTGCAAGGCAAAATGCTTCCCAGGATGAGGTCTGCGCGCTCTTCGTTGATGACAGAACAGTTGTAGTCAGAGAACCCCGTTTCCTGCAAGGAGCTTTCCGGTTTTGGATAGCTTGGAGTCGCAGGCTTGGTTTCGAAGAAAACTTGGACAACCTTGCCATCGTCTGTGCCAACCCCAGTGATGAGGAGGTGGTCCTGGCCCAGGGCTTTGAAGCAAACGCAGTTGTCCGACAAGCCAAGGTACTCGGCGTTGACTTTCAACAGAGGGGCTTGGATTCAGAGGGCCGCACAGCTGAGACCAGACGGAAAGATGGCCTTGCAATCCTTCAGCGACTACGGAAGGCTCCAGTTGCAGTCGTCACCAAGGAGGTGCTGGCCTCCACTCGGGCACTCCCAAGGGCTTGCTGCGGCGTCTGGTTTCGACATTTCGAGGACAGCAGCAAGTTTGGCACCCAAGTCAAGTACGCTGTACAGGCTCACCGCAATGGATCTCGCAATTTGTGGGAGCTCTTTTTTGGTCCAGCAGCGAACCCGGCGATGTACAGCCTGCAGCAAAGCTTCAGCTACCTCGCTCGAGGCATGCGTTACTGGCATGGCCAAGGGCGGCAATATCAAGGAGGGCTTTGGTGGATCTCCCTGATGACAAGCTTGCGCGGCCTCGGTTTAGCTACACGGACGGCGTTTTCGTGCACGGTACCGTGGGCAGGATCACTTGGCCCCCACCGGGGGATGCAGATTTTCCAGGGTGGCTCGAGCGTGGTCGCCACCTACTTCGTGAGGCTTTCAGGCGTCAACATTTCCAGGCCTTCTTGGATAGGGACCGACGGGACAGTCGACAACTCAGGAATGCTGCCATATACGCGGAAGAGAGGGTCACTCGTGCCCGTACCTTATATAGGAAGACCCGACATGCCGGCAGGGCAGTGATGCTGGGCGCCGCTTGGAGCACCCTTTGCTACAGCAGAGCTAGAGGTTTGGCGGATGAGCCGACTTGCCGCTGGTGCCATCTCAGGGTGCTGGCCACATGGCATCATCTTGCGTGGGAATGTGAGCATTTTGCAAGCACAAGACCCCCTGAGGTGCCCAATGACAGCTTGTCGCTTAGATTGGGTTGGCCGTCAGGACGGAACAGTGCTCAAGTACTCGAACACTTGGCAACAGTCAGGGAGGCCGTGAGAGAAGTGGAGGGCTTCCGTGTGAGAAGCTAATCAGGCTGCGAAGGGGTGGTGTGCGCCCTTGAGGCCCTCCGCCCTTACAAGACCTCACACGAAAGGATTAGGTGTGGATGGTTCGTTTTAGCACCTTTGCTGCTGCCCAACCCGCAGGCAGCCCTGTTCGAGCTTCCAAAGGAGAGAGGTGTAATTAGAGCTTTAGACAGGATCCTAAGCCGTTAGCCTGAGCCCTATAGTAGTTTCAAGTTTCAAGTTTCCATTTTCTTTTCCATTATCCCTATACAACCCCAATATACCCAAGAACCCTAAACCCATTATCATATAGTAGTTTCCATCTTCTTTTCCATTTTCCCTAAAGCGCGCACAGCATGAAGGAATGGGACGACAGAGCAGTGGGAAGTCCTGATCAGCGTGGAGGGCACTTACAATGCCCAGCGCCCAGTCATTCTTAGCTGGCGAGTTGCAAGAAACCCCATAGCCCCTAAGGGTCCAAGGACCCAAATAATAGGGTCCCCTTTAAAGGGGTTATAGGGGGATATAGGGTTTAAGGTTTAGGGTTTAGGGTCCAAGGACCCAAATAATAGGGCTTTAGGGCCCAAATCGATGGTATTTGGGCCCTAAATCCCTATTATTTGGGTCCTTGGACCCTTTGGGAGCGTGTATGTGTTTCAGGAAGCTAGGAAGTGGATCACCCACTTGGGCTGTCGCAGCTTCTGGCAATTTTCGTAATGACTGCAGAGTTCAACCCGAAGCTCAAGACGGTAGAGAAATGCTCGTGTAGGTGTGTTGGTGCGGTGGTCTCGAAAGCAGCTGCAGCTCGTCCCTGCCTGAGCATCAGCCTTCCGTCGACCCCTACTATAGGGATAATGGAGAAGAAAATGGAAACTACTATATTACAGGGTTATATTGGGGGCTATATAGGGATAATGGTTGCATGGCACAGAGACTTAATCCATCCATCCTGCAGGGCGGACGACTACACTGTGTTCCTAGGGACGCTGTCGGTGGCTACTTACCGTGACTGCGAGGCGGGGCAACAGAGCATCAGCGGGGGCAAGCCCTTCAAACCTTGCCTGCACACAGATGTTTCTTCCTATGCCTGCCCGCATCTGGTGTCTGGTGCTGTTTGGGACCAAAAGGGTTGCGACTTAGCCGGGCAATGTGCCTGGCACCAGGCCTTCCGTAGCTGCACCGCATCCCCAGCAAGATTTGGGTCATCGGGAAGATCCAATGCCATACCCGGAACCCGAAGCTGACCACCGGGATTAATTCGGAGTACATTAAACACAACTGCAAGGAACCTCACGTGTATGCTTGCAGATCCAAGGTAGCTGCCCACATGGGCTTTGGCATAGCCAAGCATGTGTTGAGCTGCTTCTTCCTCATCCCGGTACTTCTCAAATGCCCAGGACATTTTTCAGCAGCATCAACGGCTGATCCCACCGCAGTGTGTTTAGAGAAAAGGAGGGTTTCTCAAGACTAGGGAATATTTTGGAATTGGCAAGGAATTCCAGGGGTCCTCTATGATCTGTATGAAAACTGCAGGAGGAGCATTTTGAGAGATTCTGAGATGATTCTGGCTGGGGACTGCTAAAGGGAGACTAACTGAGAGCGAGATGTGGCCAGCCAGCACCTGTCTGACGTGAAAAGTTCACACATGTGGAAAGTATCTTCTATAGGGATAAGGGAAACGAACATGGAAACTACTATATTATAGGTGTATATGGGGGTTATATTGGTTTTAAATAGCCCGCCGCCGTTGAAACCGTACCTTATTTTGATTGAAAGTTAGCGTTTCGCCTAGGTGAAATGCTTGTTTTAGCAGCTTTCAAACAAGGCCTCTTTTTCAGGTCGTCGTTGCGAATCGTTAGGTTTTTGCAATCATTTGGGACTATTTTTTGTTTGGGCTTGCAGCGCAATGCAGTGCGACTTTTGCTTTGTTGTGCCATCTCTAGTCACCGTATGCTCTTGGAACATGGACGTTATTATGGTTTGGGCATGGATGCTCTGAGAACCGAATGCAATGAGAACACGGACGGTATTATGGTTTGGGCATGGCTGCTCTGTGACTCGAATGCAATGAGAACACGGACGGTGTTATGGTTTGGGCATGGATGCTTTGTGACTCGAATGCAATGAGATGACGACGTTAGCAAAAACCAGGTGCGGTTACACCGCTGTATGCTTAGATAGGGATAAGTTTAAGCCTCAAACTGACTTGGCTCAAGTTTTCAGCAGATAGAATCAAGACGCGGAAATGCGTTCCCCACATCCCAGATGGTCTTCTCATTGCAGACTCAAAGCCTGTGAGAGCCATAAACTCGCTAGATGCTAAAGTAGGCTCATATAGGAATCTTGCGATCTGAGGGTCTTAACCTTTCTCGGCTTTGGCAGACGAATTCTGAGCAGGCTTAGAATCACCTCCAAAACTTTGATAATTAGACATGATATGAACTGTAGTCTAAACTCCTTAAAGGGGGATATATAGGGGATTATATAGGGAACTATTATGGGGCTTATTAAGGGGGATACTAGGAGTTTAGACCATAGCTCATATAGGACGGGTTTAGGGGGAGCAGGAAGCCTACACCCTTGTAGGAGTTCTGGGAAAAGATCTACTTCGGCGCCAAGTGCACATCAGTGCCTCGCACTGATTGTGCAGACGGCTTTTCAGCGGTTCGCCCGAAGTGGTCTGAACAGGGCACTGCGCTCAGTGACTCTAGCCCAAAAATTGTCTTTAAGCCAAAATGGTCTTTAAGCCCAAACACCCAAAAGCTAAAAGCTATAGAACTCTAGACTCTAAACCTAAGTGAAATTGGACTCCCAAAAAGCTAGCTGCAGCCCCAGGTGCTGCAGGGGGGATTCAACTGCCAGATGTCTCCAGCGTCCCCACCCGCACTGAGCATCTGGGCTTGCAACCCATGCATGTGCCAAAAGCCAAAACTATCCGTTTTCACGATATCGAGGTGGTCAAAGTTAAGGTCAGGCCCGTTCTAGGCCGCTGAAACGTTATGGCCTGTGTTTTGCTGCGGGCCCAAACAGGGACCATCATTCTGAGAACCTACCATGTGAGCTATAGTGTATACTCCTTAATGGGGTCTATACAGGTTATAGGAGAGTATTCCAGGGGCTACTAATGGCCCATATCATGACTTGAAAGGACTAAGGAACATGTAAGAAGGGTCTCTTTATGCAACCCGAAGTACCTTAACGCTGGCTACTACAGGGCCCCCCCAAAACGGACCTCTGATTCCTGCAAACTGCCATTTGTCAAAACTACAGTGCTTCTCGGTTGCGTTCAGGATATTGATATTTGGGGGGATGTATGGATATGAGCTTGAGGACCTTCATACTGTAAGTTTCCAGACATACCAAGGTACCTCGTAGGAGTTGCAGGACGTTTGTGCAGATGCACATAAGGAAAACAAACATTTATCGCAAACCCTAAACCCAAAACCCTAAACACTAAACGCTAAACCCCTAAACCCTAAACCTCCAAGCGCCCATAGGGCTTATGAAGGGGGATACTAGGAGTTTAGACGATAGCTCACATAGTGCGTGCCAAGGAGCGGTAGCAGGACGTCTTTGCCATGCAAAGAGACTTTGGAGTCCAGCTTCCAGTGCCAGGGCACTCCAGGATTTGGAGGGGTTGGGGTTTGGGTTGGGGTTTAGGGTTTGGGTTGGGGTTTAGGGTTGGGGGTTAAGGCTATGGAATGATGGAATGATGGAGAATCAAATGGACAGGAACATGGAAAATGAAATGGAAGTTTGTATTATGGGGGGGATTTGTATCTATAAATTGGTAGGTTGTCAAAAATGTCGTTCCTTTTTGGGCACCCAAAGTTTTTGGTGCCGCATAGCCATGGGGACTTCAATAAGGGACCATACTTCTGACAACTAATTATCTGGTGTTTTGGCGTTCAGGTCTTAGGGTTGAAGGCAGGATGTTGGGAGGTTCCGAAAATTAGGGATCCCTCTTTCGCGGAGCCTGTCATAATGACTCCAGAAGTGCTTTCAGGATTCCACCCCATCAACAAAAATTCCGCAGCACTAGCACTTTCGGACTATATAAACCCTAGATAGTCCCTATAATCATAGTCCCTATAGTTTCCATTTTCTTTTTCCATTGTCCCTATAAACCCCCGATATTTCAAGCCCCCGTGCTGGCCCATTGCGTAGCATAAACTCACAAGTGCTCAAAGGGGTTCCCAAAGGCACATGAACTGACGGAAGCTGACCATATTCGGAGGGGTCTACACAAGGGCCCAACCCCGATTTGGCGTTTTGAGTTTAGGCTGGCAGAACTTTGGACAAGGCGATGGGGCAAGCCTACTAAACGGTTTAGGATCTACCTGAACTTTCCAAGGTACTTGCCTTCGGGGTTTGGGTATGGTTTTGAGGTTCGTATTCTTATCAAGACCCCCCAAAACGGCAATGCACTAGAGGGTCTAGAGTCTAGGTCTAGGGGTCTGCAGCTGAAAGCCCTTCAGGATATGATCAATCCTGTATGCTTCACTGCGCCTACTTGGCTCCTGCAGATGATGATTTGTGGGTTATAACGCTGCTGCTTGTAGCTGGGTTCTTGTTGAACAATATTTTTACATTTTTATGTATACCCGGGCCCAATATAGATTTAAAATGATCTTTTTGAATATTATTGCAACAAGAAGCCAGGTAGATGATGGTCAGCCGGGAGATCCAGCCATCAGAGCCTCAACCCCAAAATTAGAGGTACCCTTATACGGGTTATAGGGAGATATATAGTGTTTAGGGTTTTCAGAAAAGGGGGTACCATTTTAGGGGTCCCTATAATAATCAGGATTGTAGTACTTTGGGGCTTACACCAGCTATAGGCAAGTAGGGTTTCTCCGGGATCTTGAAGATCTTGTGTTGGTGAGTCAGGGGTGGGGTATGCAGGAAGCCCACTCACTTAGGATCATAAATGGGGTTTCCCAAAATTAGGGGTACCTTTTTGGGGGCCCCTATAATAAGGACTACAGTATATTGGGGTCTGTATTGGGGTACCCTAGTTTTGGGAAACTACCAGAGGGTTTCATTGCAGGCGACTGGGACATGCCTGCTATTCGCGTGGACAACCCCGTGACTGTTCGCATCAAGCGATTCGCGTCATCAGCCGATCTTCAGGAGTATGCAAGCTGCCCAGACGCACACAGCACGCGCCTGTTTCAGGCTATTGACGAAGAGAAAGCTCGCATGCTGGAATCAACAGAGAGTGAACCCTGCAGGCATACATTAAGAACCGATGCACCTGTCAAGTCAGGAACCATGACGTTGCGCTACCGTCCTGGTTTGAGCGTTCTCTTCCGGGCACTATGGCAAGATCGCTGGGCACATGCACTTTTTGACGGGCTCTACCCTGCTTTCGTCTCGCTGGCAAGGCCGGCAGCATTCCGTCTTGTGGGCGTTTGCAGGTTCTGATAAGAACAAGGGTTTGGGAGTGTTGGTGTGTTGTTACGTGTTGTTGACCATGCCAGAGGTTTGGACTAGAAAACCACGCCTTTACGCCTGTGGCTGTCATGTCGAACTACACGTCTAGTCTGGACTGCAAGCCACCTGGCTCATGAATATGCTTAGGGCTTTGGGTTACATAGGGGTCATGTAGAGACACCTGAAGGCTTGGGAATCATTTTGGATAAGCAACCGACACATGGAAAATGAACTGGAGACACATGGAAAATGAACTGGAGACTGGGATATGCCTTTTTCGCGAGTTGTGTAGGCTTCTCAAAACAGGTTGCCTGTAGGAACCCTTGGGATACATCTCGTTATGAAGAGATTTCGGGGGGGTCCCCTTACAAGATACGTAGGGATTCTTACCAGAAACTCCTATCTCTGTATGTGTTGGCCCAGCTGAGGAAGACTGAATCGCAAGCACTGGGCCTGTCAGGCATTCCAACGGATCGACAGGGGATGATTTGGGTTGTGTAGTCTTCAGGGTATTGACAGGGTTTATAAGATGGGGTTTAGGTGGTTTTGGAAGGCAGCTGAGGAGCAGAGGGGTCGATATGAAGGATTCTATAAACCAAGCTTCAGAAACTCTTGCAGGTTTGAGAGAGATGGATAGAGACGGCAAGTGCTGCCTGCACCTGAGCAAATTATCATGATGGTTGATATAGAACATGGTCCCCAACAGGCCTTGCACCAGGCGTGGGAAATGTTATGCCATGAGTTTCCCTACCACCTCCCTCCTCTACGCTGCCACCTTAGGTTGCTTTTTCATTTGTGCTTTTTCTTTTGAACTTTTTGGTGCAGATTACTGCTACTCAAGAGGGAGCCTATGGGAGGGGTATGGAGGGAGGAGTGGGGGGAACCTATGAAACTGGCCGCGCGTCAATGTTTTCAATGTTTGGAATTACGGCGCTTTGGCCAGTTGCATGTTTTGGCCAGGTGCTGACACTGAAAGAGTTTCTGTCCTCAAGCAGCGCAGAAACATACTTTCAGTGTGCTTCGGGTACTTTTGCTAACGAGTAAAATGCAGTATACATTGTCGACAACTTTTTGGGCTACCCCCCCGTTTTGGGGAACCCCGACGTCACACTCGCCATATGGTCCGGAGACCCCCGTAACCCCCTTACAATTACTGTGCAACCTTGCGGTATCTACACATGCCCAAAATTTTGGATAACCACCATGACATCAAATTTGGATGGCAGGCGTCGGAATCTACACTGGAACTGCCTGTCAAATGGAAGAAGCCTTCCGGCTGCTCCTGGGCTATCTTTGGAGGGAGCTGCGGCATCTCACGGAAACCTTCTGTGAATGGACATTTTGGACCATCTTACATATTTTATACCCTGCAGATCCTTGCAGTCCTAGGTATTACAAGGTGTCTTCCGCCATCCATCGCATAACGCCATGCCGAAAACAACTACGTTTGAACCAGGAAGGTTAATCTCCTCTCCCTCATTGTATAATGATACTACATTGGGTGTGTATTTCTCATCAAGTGGTGGGAGGGCTTATTATCAGCTGAGTTGATTGATCCCTATTTGAGGCCTATATAACCGTAGTTTCATTCTCCATTTCATGTTGCATGTGGTTCCACATTGCCAGGCGATAAATGTCAAAGAGGGAAGATTACAGCCTGCACATGCTCGCGAACCCCAAACCCTAAAGCCTAAACCCTCGTTCTTGTCCAACCCCTGCACAAAGGGATACAGAAGGGCAATGACGGGCCAGCATGTCGGGGTATAGTATAGCAACCACCCCTGGAACTCCTCAAAATATGTGGAGGTTTGCAATTGCGCTCTTTTGTTGTCTTTTGCAAGCAGGATGCCGGCATCTGGACTGGTGTTCATGCACGCTTTTCATGATCTCCCAACATCAATTCCCGCTCGAAACTAGCTCCTCAACATGGCCATACAGATGTCGAGTGACATTCCTATAGCATGCGACAAGACTCCGAACTTCTTGTTTTATGCTCAATCCATGGCCTTACATACCCAGCTCCCAAAACCTGAACCCCAATCCCCACACCTAAAACCCAAATTCTGAGACCTGAACATTGCATTTTACAGACACGCCGGACTGCTCACACAGGAGGCAAACGCACACCAAGAAAACTAAACCCTGAACTCTGAGCCCTACGCCTGCACTAACTCCCAGCTAGTCCCAGAGCTGTATTCCCTCGGTTTGGACTCTCCCAACATAGGGTCCTTTAAGGGCCACCCGAGTCGCCTAGGTTCGGTGGGCTGGGCAAAAAGCACCAGGAACTCGTGCGCGTGAATGAGCTTTGGGACCCTCTGTCGCCTTCGTTGGAGTTTGAGGTTTGGAGTTTAGGGTTTGGGGATTAAGATGTTGGATCTGGGGGGTGTCTGGCGGTAAGTGTTTAGGGCTTGGCTTCCGCAAGCCCGTGGCAGGAGGGTTGAATGTTGAAAATCATATGCTTTAGAATTGACAGGTCCGGGTTCAGGGTTTTAGACTTCCCTTCTGTCGTGATGGGACAATTTCTCCAAAGTCTAGATTCAATTTTTCTTGCGGGATAGAGGGGATCACACGGTTTTATAGGTCTGTATAGACATAAACTTGTTTTAACCATATGCTAGAATCTAGTATAACGTGATGTGCGAGATACATACATGTCATGTTGTTTCTCTTGCGCTGCCTTGATTTGGGTCTAGGTGTTGGAGCAGACTGCAGGGAACTGACAGGGCGCGGAATTTTCTCAGATCAATCCTACTCTTCTAATAAAGAAACCATATATACCGCCATCTAGTGCCCAGTGTAATGATATACTACGGGAAACATTATCATGAGGGGGGTGGGGGCTTGTTGTTGGGGGAGGGGATGAGAATTAGTGGCTTCCCTTTAGGGATCCTTACTTGAGGGGTGTCCTGTTTTTGGAATTGGGATCATGGCTGTCAGCGTGCTGGGGGGTCCATTTGCAGACCACAGTTTCGAGAAGAGCCTGCAGTAGTCATAAGTAGTCCTGCCACGCCTTTGCGACGTACCCCTCTTGCATCTTTTGCTCTCTTCCCGTAATTAGTTTTGGTGAGTGACAGTTCGGGCCATAGGAATGGAAGAAAGAATGCTCACAACGAGATCGCAATGTTGTTGCTCCGCTCCCTTTCAACTTTCAATCAGTGAATGATTCGGGATACAACGCCTAAAGTAAAGGTCAACCCACCAAGGAAATAGCAATTTCGCTTAAGGACGATTCTTTTTGTCTTTGTTCTATAATTTTGTTGTGGAATATCGGGTGCTGCTTTTCTTATTTTGTTGCTGTGACATCGACCAATAGTATTATTCCCTTGTTTCCCAAATGTCTATCTGTCTATCTATGTTTGAACATATACTACCACTCTATTCTCACTGACTTTGGCCCTACACTACTCAGCCCAAGGAGCAGCTGCGTTCGGCAAGCGCTTCCCTTCTTTTCGACCATCTTGTGGTGGGCAGCGCACACATGGGGGAGTATGCCTCCTACCTATCCTTACCAGGCTCCTTGAGGGGTCGAGCGTGAGTATGTAGTGGTAATAGGAGTTTGTGGGGGATAAGGAGTATGGTTCTGTAAGTGCTACTAACATTGGCGACGTCTGCGACAAAAAAAATACGGGCGGGCTCACTGGCGCTTGTTAATTTGGGCTGTCAGGATCAGGGAACCTGCCGTATATGCCAGCATAGAACTGCCTATGAGCCTTTCACCAGCCAAGTGCCCCGCTGCAGGGACAAAGGACAGCAGTGTGGCTGAGGAGACTTCCGCATACGGGCGGGACATTGTGGGTGAGTTTGCTGATCGACTCTATCATGCGCATCTTGGCCATGGCTTGAGCAGCAAGAGTACTGCCCAAACCTATCTAATACCATCCTGCTATGCCTTTAACACTTGTAATCCTAAAGCCATCATGTACCCCACAGCTTCAGCCACTCTGAACTCCCAAACTCTAAACTGCCATATTTCGTAAAATCCTGTCTGTGCTTCAGTGTCTCGACTGTTCCTAAGGCACGGTTTGGAGCCTCCACCGCCAAGGACATCTTCAAAACCTGCAAAGCAGGTGGGTGTTTGTTGAAACGCGTTAGGGGTTATATTGGGGTAATATTAGGGTTGTTTGCGGGTAATATAGGGATAATGGAAAAGAAAATGGAACTATTATATTTAGGGTTTAGAGGGTTCAGATTCAGGGTTCAGGGCTTAGGGTTTTGGGTTTTACTCCCTGGTGCTTCGTAAGGAATGAGAGAATGGGTTCTATAGTTGTTAGTGTAGGGGATTCTATGGGGATAATTTATAAGGATCCCTTCCCGCGTTCACTGCTAAGTGCCAGATAGTTTAGGGCTGAGGATTCGGTACTAATTCGCGTGAACCCCGAACCTGAGCCCAGAAGCAAAGAGGGCTGAGGGTTTGGGGCTTATGCACACTAATGAGCATGCGTTTGAAGAGGATATTCCTGACACTTTCTACAGACAACAGGACGAAATTGAGGATCTCCTCTATGGGGACTTGGAAGCAGGCCCCCGGAATTTTATAGGCCCTCCCCCCACGCAGGTGTTGAGGGTCATCATCACTGAGAACAAGCGCATGACTGCAGGGGAGATTGCAGCCATGAAGGAACTTGCAAAGGCTCATTTCTGGAAAATGTTGGACACATTTTGTGGTTTCAAGTGATGCCCGTTACAAAATGTCATTTACAGAGTGAACATTATGATGCTTTCATGGTCCCACCTATAACCCAGAAGGCAGGAGTTGGAGGAGCGGGAACTGAGACTGGGAGCCATTCGCTGAATATCAGCTTCATTGACTGGTCCGCAGTGCAGCCTTTCCGGAACCAGCTCAAGCTTCTGCAAGATACAGACATCATGGTTACTGGCATCGGCACGGCCTTGTTCTACTCAGCCTTCTTGCCTTATGGCTCAGTGTGCGTCAATACCGGCTGGAAGGACACCATCTTTATCCCCAAGTAAACCCTACACAAAAACCCTAGTAGCCCCTGGCAGGATGCCATGTCTATCCCGACATTCGGCGAAGAAGTGCTTGGCATGTCAAACCATCGCAGCAAATTTGTCTATATGCCGCTCAACCGGATCAGAGAAGGTGTGAGCAAGGCAGATGTTGAGCACCAGATACAACGCGCAGCTTCCTTGATCCTGGCCGGCTTCTCCTTGCCGCTCCAAAATGCCGAGGAGAACTTGTCGATATTTGGACGGATACTGGATCAATGTTAAGGATCCTTTGACCTTTTAGGTTTGACTGGGGACTCTGCTCACATGCAATGGTGCGTTTTGAACTTCTGAAGGTATGGGATTCCTTATATTTGTGTAAAAAGGGTTCTTTTTTCTTCCTAGTAATGTGTTGATGTGGGCTAAGGATAATCCATGACCTGGGGCAACACAGCGACGCTTCGAAGAAGGGGCTGCAAGGCCGCGAGCAAGTTGACGGCGGGTTCCTGTGCCACCAGCGACCTACCGGACAAACCTCTCTGTCTGTAACTTGTCAGCAAAATCTGCGGCCTGAACAGTTTCACAGGCGGGTATAATATGAGAGGTTATGTAGGGATCATGGTAAAGAAAATGGAAACTGCTACATCAAATCAGGGTATATATTCGGGGTTATATAGGGATAATTTGATAATGTGACAGGAGCACCTCCCCGGCAGACTAGCAACAAGCGCTTGAACAAATGAACAGGTTACACCCAGAGTCGATATTCAGAGTCTCTGGTTCCCTGATGAAATTTCAGAAGTCCATACTTCGACAGTCTATATACATTGCTTTCCTCCGTCAGGACCTAGTATTCGAGCGCCTGGTAGATGCCAAGAACTTGCTCTTCCAGCTTCCTGGCCCGATGGGCCTTGCGGAGGCATGCCAGATGGATGTAGACAAGCTTCGCTGCCTGGCATGGGATCCATTTCTTGCGTTGTCTGCATAAAGGATCCTGGTACTTCAGGGATATACGAAGATTGCCTTGATGTCAGCAGAGAGTGTTTCTCTTTTGATCCCGACTTTTACTGAAGCAGCCAACAGAATGCTTCCGGCTCGAGCAAGGTCAGTTGAAGAAGAAGTATCGACTCCCTGAAGCTCTGGGAGCCAGTGGTGCCACTTGTGAGTGCGTGATTTGTGAGAGTTGCGGGCTCTCTACAGTGTAGCTAATGTCTCTGCGCTGACCGAAAGCAGGAAGCCCCAAAAGAATGCGTCTCAGGGAAGAATTTTAGGGGGAAGTCCCTATTAGGCCATTTTGGTAACTTCGTCGACTTGCAATCTTAACTGCAATCATTCGCAGCCTGTGGCCGGCCTTAGCTGACAGGTCACAGACTGGTGGGTTGTGACCGAGTGCACAAAGCCCTGTGGTGGCGGCGAGGCGTTGGGAGCAACCGTCGGTTATCCTTGTGCGCGAGACTAGAGATGGTTAGAGGTGTCTGAAAGATTTGAGTCATTATGGGTCCTCTTTCTATTTCTGCTTTGCTTCAGGAGGTATAGAGGGGGATCCGAATCTGAAATGGGATAAATACCGCAAGGAGCGCAATAGTGATGTAGTAGATGTAGTAGTAGTAGTAGTAGTAGTAGTATCAGTATCAGTATCAGTATTGCAGGAATACACAGCAAAAAATCTGGTAATGGTACGTCAGGTGAGGATGAGACGTGGCATCCTTCAGGAGGCCTCGCCAACTTAAGAGCCAGTTGCATCAGAAGGGAGCGATTTGGTTGAAGAGGGGTCAGGGCTTAGGAGGGTGTAGAATTCACTGTACCTAGACCCTGGATGTCCTACCTTTTTGGGGATATACTCTATCAATATGTAGGACAGAACCCCCAAAAAGGAAGGACATCCAGGGTCCAGGTAGGGATTGAGTTGGGCGTTAAGGGTTTAGGGTTCAGGGGTTAAAACCCTAAGCACTAAATGAAGGGGCTTAAGGGATCTTGCAGAGGGGGGTAGTTGCAAGCTGCCCATGGGCCCTTATGTGCTCCCATATCTCCATGGAAACTGGATAAAGCCAACATAGTCGAAATAAGAGATGCGGTTTCCCACACTTACGGGGTACCCCTTTGGGGGTCCAAGTATCAACCCCTTGTCATGCTTTTACAGATGTAGCAAAAACTTACTCATTATTACGGTGGCGACTACAAATCCTGCGTGACCCCAGGTACCCTAAAGCTTGAGAATAACGGTACTATAGTATACTAAGGTCATGCAGGATTTCTAGTACCAACAGTGCATCAGGGTGTTGGTGAGCACTCGAAGGACTGGCCAGATTATCAAGCCCAAATACTGGCCTCTAAACCTTGGCTTACTGGTGGTTAGTAGGGAATAAGGGAATGCAAGGGAATATGCTTCCCTATACAGTTACTAAATAGAGGGAATATACTCCCCATACAGTTATTACATCATACATTCCCATAATCCTACTAACCACCAGTAAGTTAGACGCCATAAGTAGCAGCTTCCATTTTCTTTTCCACACCCCGCGCTCACCCTGAAGCACCGTGATTGATCAGTGGACGTTGCCTATGCCAAGACACTAAACCCTGAATCCTAAACCTTAAATCCAAAACCCTAACCTAAATCCTAAACCTTAAACCCTAAACCGCATGACTCGTCCTTATTAAAGGGCTTGGGGTAATCTTAACTTTAAGTAAGTTGCTGTAATCAGGAAGCCCCATCTTTTTGCTAAATGCCACATAATATGGTAATTCCATTTTAAATTAACAGCAATCTAGATTCATGGACTCAGGGGTTGGGGTGACCAAACCTTCAGGGTTTGGGGATGGGGGGGTCAGGGTCTAGGGATTAGGGCTCAGGGGTTGAAGTAACCAAACCTTCAGGGTTTAGAGTTTTGGGGTTTAGGGTTCAGGGTTTAGGGGTTGGGGTCACCAAACCTGCCTGATTCATGATGTCGGCAGGCCTCGGGGGGAGGTCAAGCCTGTCCCAGTCAGTCCCAGCTGGTGAAGGCCACGGGCCCACGGAGAGTCGTATTTTGGGTACCGGCCCCACTCCCCGGACCCCTAGAGGATCCAGAAAATGGATCCCCCCCCCAAAATGGCTCCATTGCTACCTTGGGGAACCTAGGGGATTATTAAGGGGTTCCATTTTAGGGGGGGGTGGGGGCAGGACGCAAGTCCTATTCTTCATCCATATCGGCGCATAATGGTATCGGTTAAGGTTTAGGTTTCAGGGTTTTCTATAGCCTCCGCATACTTATCATAATAATGCGAAATCAAATGGGACATGGCACGGAAGTTTGAGTTATGTAGCATTTCATTTGGGGATACGATAGTCCCCATCGTGCCTTGCTGGCCTGCCTGACTCCTCAAGTTGTCTGGTCTGATGACATCCCCATCTGCCTTTCTTGTTCCAATCAACTTAACTCCATACAAATTCTGCAGAAAATCACAAAAAATGCTGCCAAGCAGAGCTCTTGCCAAAAGAGACACTTCAAGATATGATGCGAACCTGTCATGAAGTTCCCAGAGATCTCAACACAAGTTTTTGCCGATTCTAATTTATTCGAGACTATCTACTGGCGGAGCCAAAGTGCTCGACGCTCGCATCTCATGACCGACTGATGTCCGTGAATAGTATGATAGTCCCCATTATAGAGTAAGAGCAGATCCTCCCTTTGGGTATAGCTAAAAAGTATTATAAGCTGACTTGATTCAATCACAGAGGCAAAACACTACCCGGGACGTTTTCCATGGTTCACTTAGTGAAGTTAGTGGAGAATTCAGGAATATTGGTGATAAGCAGGATTATTGGGGATACATAGGGCCACTGCAGGATGCACTCCCTTGCTCCTTCCAACCGCCGGGGTGTTTATATAGGGCTTGTATGTTTCTGTTAATGAGGGGATTTTTTGGGTCCCACTTCTGGGGACAAGCATATGGGGCGTATATGTACATATATGTATATTATATATATACACATGCAGAGTAAGGCAGAATTCTCGTAGCTCACGTGGTCTTGAATGTGTGACCTCGACACTGACTATGGGAATTTGTGTTGGGATTTGCAAAAGCACTAACCCCCTTCCCCTACTCGATATCCTTCACTACATGAACAATTTTGTGCCGGTATATGTCCCCAAAAGGGGGGAGTGGTTTAGGGTGCCCGGGATGTTAGGGGAAGGGGACTATTCATTTACGATGGAACCTACATACTCATCCCAAGCCTGATGCCCCCACCCAAATATGAAACTGCCCAACTGCCCCCCCCCCCCCCCCCCC